TTTTTTTCCTCTTTCCCCTTCTTTTTTTAACCCACTTTACTTACCCACCCATCCACCCACCCTCAAAACTCCCGAAACCTATGCCTATCTATCTACCCACTACAAATCAAGAATACGATTCTAATCCGAGGCTCTTGGTCACTCACTTACCTATTCTTTCACTTACCCACTCCCTAACTTACTCACTCTTTCACTTACCCATACACACACACACCCACTTATACACACCCATACACCTATACCCTTAAAAGCCACTGACCATTGACCACTGACTAACTACCAAGAACCAACCACCAACCCACTATCCCTAAAAACCAAAAACCAATTAATCGTCGGCTCGCTTAAGTAGGCCTCCTTACAGCCTTTCAGTCTTAGTCGGTATAAGCGATTGCGGATCGGAAGCGAGTGCGGATTTTTCGAGTGTATTGGAAATTCTTTTATACTATAACAATTATTATTACAATTAATTAAAACATATTTATTTAAATAATTAATTTACGAATATACCTTTTCCCGAAACGTTTAAAATCGTATTATCAATCGGTATAAAGCTTGCTGCTAAGCAGCAAGTTAAAGAAAATCTTGAATCTGTTGCAGAATCTGCTGCGAAACAATGATAAATCGTCGATAAGATTTTTTAAAAAAAGAAATAGATGCTAAATATCGTAAAGAAGTCGATTTACGGATAGCTGAGCGCGAGCGTAAAAGGATTATACGAAAACGCTACAGGCTTAATTATTAAAGACGACGATGTAATACTTGTTTTAATTTTCGATTCGAAAGAGATTTAATGTTTGCAATAACCTTTTACGCGTTAAATTTTGCGGCCTTGTAAAAAAAAGTATTCCTCGACCAACTCTTTCTCAACTTAAACCTTTTCTTAATAACGATGATCTAATGATTATAACCGATATTATTAAAGACTTCTTTTTAAAGCAAAATATTTTTCCTCTTCTTAATATTAATATTAATATTAATATTAATATTAATATTAATATTAATATTAATAATGATAGCTTTAATTCTAATAATAATAGAGATTCAAACGATTCGTTGCGTAAAGTAAAAAACGAGTTAGATTTTAATAAAAAGAATAATCGATAATCAAATGTTTTATCGGACAATACGATTTTAGATATTTCGAAAGAAGGTATACTCGTAGATTGATTATTTATATAAATATTTCTTAGTTATAATAGTAATTGCTATAGTATAAAAGAATTTCCAACATATTCGAAAAATCCGCACTCGCTTCTAATCCGCAATCGCTTATACCGACTAAGACTGAAAGGCTGTAAGGAGGCCCACCTAAGCGAGCCGACGATTAACCATCCATCCATCCCCAGAAATAATACCACACCACCGTAATAAAAACAACCAACCCCCTTCCCCTCCCTCCCTCCCAGCCTTTACGTACGTCCTGTATATACCTATGTATGTAATAAGTAAAGAGAGAAGGTATCGGTACTACGGTACAAGCTTAAGTATTTAGTATTACCTCATTCGAAAGTGCTTCGAGAGTTTAGTTTCTACTGGAAGCACCCTGGGTACTCTACCCTCGAAGGGGAATACTGGTACCTAGGTACTTATGCCTGTACCGTGGTACTACGTACTACGTATGTATATGAGCTGGTGCGGACGGTGCTTTATAGGCCGGCTAGTATGCATCTATTTCGTCTCTCTTACCTACCTACTTACATATTATCCCCCTCCTCTTTCTTAGCCTCTCTCTCTCTCAGCCTCTCTTTCTCTCTCTCTCTCTCAGCCTCTCACTCCTTCCTAATCGTCCGCTCGCTTAGCTTGGCTTGGCTTAAGTTGCAGCAGCGCGGAAGGCAGAAAGAAAGAAATGCAGATCCTTCAATCTGCAATCGTGTCAGCGGTAAAACCTGTGCAATTTGAACGAATAGTAGAGGTCTACGAGGTAGGATACGGAGGTGGCGAAGGACAAGAAGGGATTGAGAAATGAGAGATGAGAGATGAGAGGTGGTGATGATACCGGTTACCTTACACGGGGGGTTTTTTTTTTTTTT